CATCATAATAAAAATGGTAAACATTAAAGACAAAGAAAGAATCTTAAAGGAAGCAAAGAGAGACAGAAAGTCACTTACAAGGAGCTCCCATTAGACTGTCAGCTGATTTCTCAATAGAAACACTGCAGGCCAGAAGAAAGTGGCATGAAATATACAAAGTAATGCAAGGCAAGAGTCTGAATCCAAGAAAGACTACTCTATCCAGCAAGGTTATCATTCAAAATTGAAGAAGAAATAAAGAACTTCACAGACAAAAAAAAAAAAAAAAAACTAAAGGAATTTACCACCAACAAACCAGCACTGCAAGAAATGCTGAAAGGATTGTTGTAAGAAGAAATATATAGAGAGAGGAACACAGGCATAAAATAAAAACAGCAACTAATAAGTATCTATCAAAATGACCTTAAATGTAAATGGCTTAAATGCTCTAATCAAAAGACATAGAGTAGTTGATTGGATAAGAAAACACAGCCCATATATATGCTGTCTACAAGAGACTCACCTTACAACAAAAGAATCACACAAAATGAAAGTGAAAAGATAAAAACAAATTTTCTAAGCAAATGGAAATTTAAAAAGCTGGTGTAGCGATACTGATATTTGATAAGCTTGATTTCAAAATGAGGGCCATAATAAGAGACAAACAATGTTACTACATATTAAAAGGATCAATCAAAATGAGGATATAACCCTGGTAAACATAGACACACCAAATATAGGAGCACCAAAATATATTTAAAAACTTCTGGAGGACTTCAAAAGAGAGATCAATAACAATACAATCATAGTGGGTGACTTTAACACCCCATTGACACCACAGAATAGACCTTCTAGACAAAAAATTAACAAGGACACAGGATTCTTAAATGATGAAGTAGATCAGTTGTACTTAATTGATATTTACAAAACTTTTAATGCCAAAGCAATGCACATAAAACATTTTTTAAGATAAACCACATATTAAGACACAAAGTAAGTCTCTACAAATTTAAGAAGATTGAAATCATATCAAGCATCTTTTCAGATAACAGTGGCATGAAACTAATAATCAATTACAACAAAAACAGTCAAACACTTTGAGGCTAAATAGCATGTTATTAAACAACAAATGTGTTACCAAGGAGACCAAGGAAGAAATTAAAAACTTCCTGGAAACCAATGAAAATGAAAACACAACATCTATGGAACACAGAGAAAACAGTTCTGAGAGTGAAGTTCATAGCACTACAGGCCCACCTCAAAAAAACAAGAAGAATTCATAATTTTCTTTCTATCACTACAACTTAAAGAAGTAAAAAGTAAAAAAGAAAAATCCAGAACAAGTAGAAGAAAAGAAATAGTAAAGGTCAGAACAGAAATAAACAACATAGAGACTAAAACAAAAATACAACTCAAAAGATCAATGAAACAAAGAGCTGGTTCTTTGAAAAAATAAACAAGATTGATGGGCCTTTAACCACACTCACCAAGAAACAAAAAGAGAGGACCCAAATAAACAAAATCAGAAACAAAAGAAGAGAATTAACAATTGACAACATAGGAATACAAAGGATCATCAAAACATTCTATGAACAATTATAAACTGACAAATTAGACAATCTAGTGAAAAGGACAAATTTCTAGAAACACACATTCTCCCAAAACTGAACAAGGAAGAGATAGAAAACTTGAAAAGACCAATAACAACAAAGGAAATGGAAGATGTAATTAAAAAACTCTCCGCAAACAAAAGCCCAGGCATGGATGGCTTCACAGGGGAGTATTACCTAACATTCAAAGATCTAGTACCTGTTCTCCTCAAACTATTTCAACAAAATCCAAGAAGATGGAAGACTTTAAAACTCATTTTAAGATGCCAGCATAATCCTAATTCCAAAACTAGAAAGAGACACTAGAAAGAAAGAAAACTACCGGCCAACTGATAAACACAGTTGCCAAAATTCTTAACAAAATATTAGCAAACCGGATCCAGCAATACATCAAAAAAATTATTGCCCTGGCCGGTTTGGCTCAGCGGTTGGAGCGTCGGCCTGCGGTACAGAGAGACCCGGGTTCAGTTCCCGCTAAGGGCACGTACCTCGGTTGCAGTTTGTCCCCGGCCCTGGTTGGTCGTGCGGGTGGCAGCCACTCGATGTGTCCCTTCACGTCGATGTTTCTCTCTCTCTCTCCCTCCCGCTCTATCTGAACAAAAAATGGAAAAATGTCCTCGGGTGAGGATAAAAAAAAATAAAAAAAATTATTCATTATGACCAAGTGGGATTCATCGCAGGGATGCAAGGCTGGTACAATATTCACAAATCAATAAATGTAATACACCACATAAACAAAATGAAAGATAAAAATCATATGATCATATCAATAGAGGCTGAAAAGGCATTTGACAAAATTCACAACTCATTTCTGATAAAAACACTCAGCAATGTGAGAATAGAGGGGTCATATCTTGACATAATAAAAGCAATATATGAAAAACTTGCTGCCAACATCATACTCAATGGGCAATCACTACAAGCATTTCCCTTAAGAACAGGAACAAGACAGGGATGCCCATTTTCACCACTCTTATTTAACATAGTACTAAAAGTCTTAGCCACAGCAATCAAAAAGAAGAAAAAATAATATAAATCCAAATTGGAAATGAGAAAGTGAAATTTTCATTATTTCCAGAAGACATGATATTGTACATAGAAAACCCTGAAGACTCCATAAAAAAAACTACTAGATTTAATAAACAAATGTGGCAAAGTAGCAGGATACAAAATTAACATCAACAAATTGACAACATTCTTATACACCAATAATGAACTCACAGAAAGAAAAATTTAAAAAAATATATCTCATTTACCATCATGGCAAAAAAAAATTAAGATACTTAGGAATAAACTTAAAGAAGTAAAAGACCTCTTCCCAGAAAAATACAGATCACTAGAAAAAGAAATAGAGGAAGATATAAAAAAAGTGGGAGCACATACCGTGTTCATGCATTGGAAGAATTAACATCATTAAAATGTTTATACTACCCAAAGTAATCTATAGATTCAATGCAATCTCCATCAAAATACCAACGACATATTTCACAGAACTAGAACAAATATTTCAGAAGTTTATATGGACCCAAAAAAGATGCAGAATGACCACAGCATCTTAAAAAAGTAAAACAGAGTAGTAGGGATCACAATACCAGATATCAGTTTATACTACAAAGCCATAGTAATTAAAACAGTCTGGTATGAGCACAAGCACCCAGAAATTGACCCAAGGCAATATGCTTGTTAATATTTGACAAAGGTGACAAGAACATACAGTGGAGTCAAGACAGCCTCTTCAATAAATGTTGTTGGGAAAATTTGACAGGTACAGGCAAAAAAAAATAATGCTAGACCACCAGTTTACACTGTACACAAGAATAAACTGAAAGTGGATAAAAGACTTAAATGTGGCTTGTGAATCCATAAAAATTCTAGAAGTAAATGTAGGCAACAAAATTTCAGACATCACACGCAGCAGAATTTTTACTGATACAACACCTAAGGCAAGAGAAACAAAGGAAAAAATGAACACATGGAACTGTATCAAAATTAAAAGCTTCTGCACAACAAAAATAACAACCATCAAAATGGAAAGGCAACCCACAATATGGGAGAGCATAACTGCCAACAATACATCAGATAAGGGATTAAATTCCAAAATATATACAGTACTCATACAACTCAACTAAAGGAAAACAAAGTACCCAATTAAAAAATGGGCAGGGTACCTAAAGAGACATTTCTTCAAACAGGACATACAAATGGCTAAGAGGCATGTGAAGAAATGCTCAACATCACTAGTCATCAGAGAGATGCAAATTAAAACAACAATGAGGCATTATCACACACCTGTCACAATGGCTGCCATCAACAGTTCATTAAACCATAAATGCTGGCAAGGGTGTGGAGAAAATGGGACTCTACTACACTGCTGGTGGAATTGCAGACTGGTGCAGCCACTATGGAAAACACTATGGTGTTACCTCAAAAAGTTTAAAATTGAACTTCAATTTGACCCAGTGATCCCGCTTCTAGGAATATACCCTAAGAAGCCTGAAACACCAATCAGAAAGAATACATGTATCCCTATATTCATAGCAGCACTATTTACAATTGCTAAGATCTGGAAACAGTCCAAGTGTCCATCAATAGATGTGTGAATAAAAAAGCTATGGTACATACACACAATGGAATACTTATCCTTTGAGATGACATGGAGTGACTTGGAAAATATTATACTAAGCGAAACAAGCCAACCAGAGAAAGACAAATATCACATGATCTCACTTATTTGTGGAATATAATGAACAAAACGAACAGATGAACAAAATTGATCAGAAACAAAGAAGTAGGGTACAGGCTGACAAACCTCAGAAGAGGGAGTGGGGGAAGAGATAAACTACAGAACTTATATGCATGTATGCATAACAAACTGACATAGACAACAATGCTGGGGACAGGGCGGTGGGGGGAGTCAATGGGGGGAAAAGGAGAAACATCTGTAACAAAAATAAATGGAAGAAAGAAAGAAAGAAAGAAAGAAAGAAAGAAAGAAAGAAAGAAAGAAAGAAAGAAAGAAAGAAAGAAAGAAAGAAAGAAAGAAAGAAAGAAGGAAGGGAGGGAGGGAGGGAGGGAGGGAGGGAGGGAGGAAAGAAAGAGGGAGGGAAGGAAGGAAGGAAGGAAGGAAGGAAGGAAGGAAGGAAGGAAGGAAGGAAGGAAGGAAGGAAGGAAGGAAGGGAAAGAATAGAAAGTCTACAGAGTTGAAAATCTAGAACTGAATTTCAAATAGGAAGTCAGGGTTCATGCTATATTTTTGAGAATCAGTGAACATAAAATGAAATTCCTGGAAGTGAATAAAAGCTACAATAAAAGTTGAAAAATAAATAAATTACTGAATAATTCATAAAAGGGTCTTTAAGTTCCTGGAATGAAACACACAATATTATAATTATTATTATCATTATTATTTTATAATATATGGAATTCTTCAAGAACTTGCGTGTCATACTTGCTCAGGGGCCATGCTAATCTACTCTGCATCCTTCCAATTTTAGTCTATGTGCTGCTGAAGTGAGCACCACACACATTATTTTTCATGAAAAAAAAAAAGTTTTGGATCATTGGGACAAGATCCATAAATAACAATGGATAAAAAGCTACTTTGGTCCAGCCAGTGTGACTCAGTGGTTGAGTATTGACCCATCCACCAAGAGGTCGCAGGTTTAATTTCTGGTTAGGACACATGCCCAGGTTGTGGGCCCAATCCCTACTGGGGGACATGCAGAGGCAGCCAGTCAGTGTTCTCTCTCATCGATGTTTCTATTTGTCTCTCCCTCTCACTTCCACTTGCTATAAAATCAATAATAAAAAAAACAACATTTTTTTTTTGCAAAGAAAAGCATATATCTTTATTTAAATATCCAGATCATATTTTTCTTCATTTTTGATTCCTTACTAGTTTTTTAAATTAATTTATTAATTTTTGTTATAGGTGTTTCTCCTTTTTCCCCCACTGATTCCCCTTCCCCCACCTTCCCCTCCCTGTCCACAGCTTTGTTGTCTATGTCCATTGTTCATGCACACATGCATATAACTTCTGTAGTTTATCCCTCCCCCAACACCCCTCTTCTGGGGATTGTCAGTCTGTACTCAACTTCCAAATCTCTGAGACTACCCTATTCCTCAGACTGTTATGTTCATTATGTTCCACAAATAAGTGAGATCATATGATACTAGTCTTTCTCTGTTTGGCTTCTTTTACTTAGGATGATACTTTCCAGGTCCCTCCATATCGTCTCAAAGGATAAGAGATCTTTCTTCCTTATAGCTGCATGGTACACCACTGTGTATATGTACCATATCTTTTCTATCCATTCATCTACTGATAGACATTTGGGCTGTTTCCAGACCTTAGCTCTTGTAAATAGTGCTGCTACAAACATGGGGGTACATATATTCTTTCTGATTGGTGTTTCAGGCTTCTTAGGGTATATTGCTAGAAGTGGGATCACTGGGTCAAATGGAAGTTCAATTTCTAACTTTTTGAGGTAATACCATATTATACCATATTGTTTTCCATAGTGGCTGCACCAATCTGCATTCCAACCAGCAGTGTACTAAAGTCCCCTTTTCTCCACACCCTCGCCAACACTTGTTGTTTGATGATTTGTTGATGGCAGCCATTCTGACAGGTGTGAGATGATACCTCATAGTTGTTTTAATTTACATCTCTCTGAGAATTAGTGATGTTGAGCATTTCTTTATATGTCTCTTAGCCATTTGTATGTCCTGTTTGGGCAGGTGTCTATTTAGTTCCTCTGTCCATTTTATAATTGGGTTCTTTGTCTTCCTTTAGTTGAGTTGTATGAGCACTCTGTATATATTGGAAATTAACCCCTTATCTGATATATTATTGGCACTATGCTCTCTCCTACAGTGGGTTGCCTTTTCATTTTGATGATTGTATCTTTTGCTGTGCAGAAGCTTTTTATTTTGATATAGTCCCAAGTGTTCATTTTCTCCTTTGTTTCTATCTCCTTAGGTGATGTATAAGTGAAAATTCTGCTGCGTATGATATCTGAAATTTTTTTGCCTACAGTTTCTTCTAGAATTTTTATGGATTCATGAGTCACATTTAAGTCTTTCATCTATTTTGAGTTTATTCTTGTGTATGATGTAAGTCAATTGTCTAGTTTCATTCTTTTGCATGTAGCTGTCCAATTTTCCCCACACCATTTATTAAAGAGGCTGTCTTTACTCCACTGTATGCTCTTGCCATCTTTGTTAAATATTAATTGAGCATATTGCCTTGGGTCCATTTCTGGGATTTCTGTTCTGTTCCACTTGTCTCTATGCCTGTTCTTGTGCCAGTACCAGGCTGTTTTGATTACAGTGGCTTTATAGTATATGGTAATGTGATCCCTCCTACTTTGTTCCTCTTTTTCTTTTTTTTTGTTTATCCTCACCCAAGGATATTTTTTGATATTTTGTTCAGATAGAGTGGGAGGGAGAGAATGAGAAACATCGATGTGAAAGAGACACATTGAGTGGTTGCCACCCACATGACCCAACCAGGGCCTGGGACAAACTGCAACTGTGGTACGTGCCCTTAGCAGGAACCATACCCGGGTCTCTCCAAACCGCAGTCCAAAGCTCTAAATTCTGAGGAAAACTGGCGAAGGCTGTTCTTCTTTTTCAATATTGCTTGTGGCTATTTGAAATCTTTTTTGTTTCCATATAAACTTTTGAAGTATTTGGTCTAGTTCTGTGAAGTATGTCATTGATATTTTGATGAGGATTGCATTGAATCTATAGATTGCTTTAGGTAATATGGACATTTCAATGATGTTAATTCTTCCAATGCATGAACAAGGTATGTGCTTCCACTTTTTTATATCTTCCTCTATTTCTTTTTTCAATGTCCTGTAGTTTTCTACAAATAGGTCCTTTATTTCTTTGGTTAAATTTATTCCTAGGTATCTTAATTTTTTTGTCGCAATGGTAAATGGGACTGTTTTCTTAGTGTCTCTTTCTATGATTTCATCATTAGTTTATAAGAATGCCATTGATTTCTTGACATTAATTTTGTATATTGCTACTTTGCCAAATTCATTTATTAAGTCTAGTAAATTTTTGATGGATTCTTTGGGGTTTTCTACATATAGTATCATGTCATCTGCGAATAATGACAGTTTCACTTCCTACTTTCCAACTTGGATGCCTTTCATTTTTTCTTCCTGTCTGATTGCTGTGGCTAAGACTTTAAGTACTATGTTAAATAAGAGTGGTGAATGTGGGCATCCTTGTCTTGTTCCTGTTCTTAAAGGAAATGCTTTTAGTTTTTGCCCATTGGGTATGATGTTGGCTGTAGGTCTTTCATGTATGGCCTTTATTATGTCAAGATATGATCCCTCTATTCCCACATTGATGAGTGTTTTTATCAGAAATGGATGCTGGATTTTGTCAAATGTATTTTTGGCATTTGTTGATATGATCTGTGGTTTTCATTTTTCATTTTGTTTATATGGTGTATCACATTTATTGATTTGCAATTATTGTACCAGCCTTGTATCCCTGGGATGAATCCGACTTGGTAATGGGGAATAATTTTTTTGATGTATTTCTGGATCTGATTTTCCAGTATTTTTTTCAGGATTTTGGCATCTATGTTCATCAGGGATATTGGCCTATAGTTTTCTTTCTTTGTAGTGTCTTTCTCTGGTTTTGGAGTTAGAATTATGCTGGCCTCATAAAATGAGTTTGGAAGTCTTCCTTCTTCTTTAATTTTTTGAAATAATTTGAGGAGAATGGATGTTAGTTCTTTTTTGAATGTTTGGTAAAAGTCCCCTGTGAAGCCATCCCGGCCTGGGCTTTTGTTTGCTGAGAGAGTCTTAATTACATCTTCAATTTCTTCTGTTATTATTTGTCTGTTCAAGTTTTCCATCTCTTCCTAGTCCAGTTTTGGGAGACTATGTGTTTCTAGAAATTTGTCTATTTCACTTAGATTGTCTAATTTGTTGCCATATAATTGTCCATAGTGGTTGTTAACGATCTTCTGTATTTCTGTGGTATCTGTTGTTCCTTCTCTTCCTTAATTTCTGATTTTGTGTATGTAGATTCTCTCTTTGTTTATTGGTGAGTCTTGCTAAGGGTCTATCAATCTTGTTTATCTTTTCAAAATACCAGCTCTTTGTTTCATTGCTCCTTTGAATTGTTTTTTGGTCTCTATGTCATTTATTTCTGCTCTGATCTTTACTATTTCCTTCCTTCTACTTGCTCTGGGGTTTACTTTCTAGTTTTTTAAGTTGTGAGGTTAGATAGGTTATTAGAGACTTTTTGTTTGTTTGTTTCTTGAGGTAGGCCTGTAGTGCTATGAACTTCCCTCTCAGAACTCCTTTCGCTGTATCCCATAGGTTTTGTGTTGTTGCATGTTCATTTTCATTGTTTTACAGGAAGTTTTTAATTTGTTCCTTGATTTCCTCGGTGACCCATTTGTTGTTTAATAACATGCTATTTAGCCTCCATGTGTTCTAATGTCTTTGCATGTTCTTGTTGCAATTGATTCCTAGTTTCATGCCACTGTGATCTGAGAAGATGCTTGATATGATTTAAATCTTCTTGAACTTCTAGAGACTTAGTTTGTGTCCTAATATGTGGTCTATCTTTGAGAATGTTTCATGTGCACTTGAGAAGAATATAAATTTTCTAGTTTTAGAGTATAATTATCTGCATATATCTATTAAATCCATTTGGTCTAGTGCTTCATTTAGAGTCTCTGTTTCCTTGCTAATTTTTTGTCTAGAGTATCTATCCAGTGATGTCAGCGTGGTATTGAAGTCCCCTGCTATGATTGTATTGTTATTGATTTCTCCTTTGAAGTTTTCCAGAAGATTTTAAATATATTCTGGTGCTCCTATATTGGGTGCATATATGTTTATCAAGGTTATATCATCCTGTTGGATAGATCCTTTCAATATTATATAGTGGCCTTCTTTGTCTCTAGTTATAGCCTTCATTTTGAAATCTACTTTATTCGATATGAGTATTGCTTTCCCAGCTTTTTCTTCCTTTCCATTTGCTTGGGAAATTTTTTTCCATCCCTTCACTTTCAACCTATGTGAGTCTTTTGTTGTGAGGTGGGTGTCTTGTAAACAACATATAGATGAGTCATGCTTTCCTTATCTAATCAACTACTCTGTGTCTTTTTTTTAAATCCATTTACATTTAAGGTGATTATTGATATGTACTTATTTATTGCCATTTTTGTTTAGTGTGGTTCTATATTTCTTCCTATTTTTTCTATTAATTATACCATTCCTTTTAACATATCTTGAGTGCTAGTTTGTTGCTAATGTATTCCCTTAGCCTTTTTTTTTTTTTTTTTTTTTGTCTGGGAAGCTCTTTATATGACCTTCTGTTTTGAGTAGTCTTGAGTAGCCTTTTTCATAACCTTGATTACCTTATGCCATTCCCTTCTTGCCAGTAGTGTTTCTGTTGAGAAGTCAGCTGAGAGCCTTATGGGGGTTCTTTGTAGGTAATTTTTGTTTATCTCTAGCTGCCTTTAGGATTCTCTTTTTGT